GAGCCAGATAGACCTTGGCTGTATGTTTCCGCAAAAAGAGGCAACGCCGTTCCTCCCGATACCAATGGTTTAAGGCCCCCATCCCAATTCGAGGCTACGCCTGGCATGAAACCCCGTGAACCTTGCTGCCTATTCATACATCGTCCTCGAGGAATTTGTACGCGAACTTGAAGTCCGCCTTTCTTCGGTTCATCCTGCCCTTTGAGTTAGCTTAATTACATCAGTTTAACGTCTTCAAGAAAATAACTCACCATGTGCTTTCGTAGTCGAAGAAGCGGTATGTGCCCTGCTCGAATTCCTCGGTGATGTTCTTTGGCTCTTCGTGGCGCTGGAACCAGGTTTGATATTGCTTGTGGAACCGCCAGCTCTGGTCCTTCAACGCCTTGGCGGCAAGGTATTGCTGGGGCGTGCCTTGCTTGTAGTAGAACACGTAGAAGAGCGTGTCAGGGTCGATCCGTGAATATAGCCGCGGGTCATCAAACAAAGGGAGTGGCTCTTGAGGAAAGCCAACGCCGGTTGATGTCAATCGCAAGTCGGGACGGTACGTTCTGGGCACATCTGCATCCATGATGTCGGGACACGTAGCCTGGCTGGTCTGGAGCATGCGTTGCGTGGATGGCGAGTTGAGAGGCGCTGGGCGCTTGCGGGAAGCTTCAAAAGACTCGACGAGGTCTTGCAAAGATGACGGAAGGTGATATATGGACTCTTCCTCTCCCTCTGCTGTAGCCTGGATCCCATTTGTGGCACCGTTTGTTTGAGATGCTAAAGAACATTAGTAAACTATGAAAATGGTCACGGTGTTGGGCGGACTTGCCTTTGGCTGCTCCCGAAGCACTTGCCGCAGCCTGCTCCTTTTTCGCACGCTTCTCTGCCTTGGTAGGGGCCGAGACGGCCTTTGTGTTCGTGTTTGTGCTTGTGCTTGCGCTTGCGCTTGCGCTGGCGCTCGCATTTGCGATCGGTGGTTCGCTTGGGGTTGTTGATGGTGGTGGTGGCTGCTTGGGTTCGGGCTCCTTTGCTGCAACAGGGTGCGCTGATGTCGTTGCGGGTGAGCTTGTAGCGCTGGTTTTCGATTGCGAGCCCGGCGTACTGGCAGGGACGGGTGCTGCGCCTGGCGGAGGGGGCAAGGGAGAGATGCCGATCTTGTCTGACGCTGCCGCTGCCGCCGCCGCAGACGCGTATTTGAGGCCTTCAGCAGGTCTTGCGGGGGCTACCGCTGGCTTCATCGTAGGACCGGTTGCTGCGCCATTGCCAATGATTGTCGGCATATGCAAGGTAGCTAACGCAGGCAGTGGGGACTTGTTCTGTGAGCTCGACCTGCGTCCTGAAGCAGATGCTTCTGCTACCGCCTTTGGCTTTGGGGGGGCCTTGATGATTTCTGGTTCGGGTGTCGGTTCCTCCGCTATTGACTGAGCGTCTTGCGATGAGCCCTTGTCGCCATCTTGAGCTAGGCCAAATGCGCCCTCGTCCTCGTCCAGAGCGAGCTCCTCGTACATCTCCTCGTCCTCGACAAAGTCATCGTTCATGCCATCCGAGACGTAATATCGAATCGTCTCTTCGAGTTCAGTAACCTGATCCGTGTCGACTCCGCCGTTCTCTAGAGATCTCCGAATAAGCTCTAATTTGCCCTGATGCCACTTATGACGTTCGATGATGCGCTCGATCTCGGCCATTCGTTCCGCCTTGGCAGTTTGGCTCTTGCCCTTCTTCATCGTCGCTTGTATCGATTCGGCCTCGGCTTCTAGGGTTTCGATTTGTTGCTCGAGCTCGTCGACCATGCTATTTAGGAAGTCGCTTGCCTCGGCTTTTGCTTGTTCTTGGGGATCGAGCTTGGCTGAAGAGGCTAACCCTTCCTTGGAGTATGCCTTGGTCTTCATAGCCTTCTCTACGGCCTTGAACTTTTCCATTTGCTGCAGAGGGGATTAGCGGGACCGCGGGGAAGAGCTACGACCGGGGAGTTGGTAGACCAACCGTCTCGATCAACCTTCGATGCTCCAGCAAAGGAGACTTGTCCTTGATGTCGTTGCTTGCTGCCCATGTCTTGATCTGATCGCGGAGTCTCTGTAGCTTCTTGATTTCGCGCTTGAGGTTGTCCTCGAGCTTCTCTTTTTGGGAGATGTTGTTGGATTGCTCAATCTTTTCGTAAATGGCCTCGAATTCGGCGACGCCTTCCGCCACCTTTTTGAAGCACTTGTCGACTTCTTGTTGGAGTTTGCGTGCCGCCATCTTGTAGGGTTGTGTGTGGCAGAGATGAAAATGCTAAGCCTAATTACGTGTCTCGATACCGACGGGTTGGGTTTGTCGGTTGTGTCAGGTGTGTCGTGATTGACGCTGGTTTTCAGTGAGCTGTGCTCGTGTCGCAGACGGCCGTCGAAGGGGTGATGGGCGCGTTATGGGTGGATGAATGGGGGGTTTGTCCCTCGCGTGACGACTGCTACGCCGTGTTGACCGGCGTTTGTTGGTTGCGCAATACAGGTTTGCTTGCCGGGAAGTGAGGCGTTTGATGTGTTAAGGATGCGCGCATGCAGAAGAAAGAGCTGGATGGAAGATGCTGTGTGGGAGGTGGAAGGTGGAGGTCGCCAGTACCTGAAGACCGATAGAGGGTGAAACATAGGAATGTTGCAAATGGGTACTTGAAAAGCTTCAAAGGGGTCCTGAGGATACGAATAATCTCATAAGCACACCATTATTAATATAACTCTTACAAATGATCAATTTTTACGATAAAATGGTCCATTCCGGTAGTGTAATAGCATGCAAGACCAGCGCCGGATTCTTTCTATCTATCAGACTGAAGTTCAGGCTACTTCGACTTCGTCACTAAATATGACACGGGCCACTGTCAAGCCCAGCCTTGCCAGCTGTTTTCCGCCGTGTTCAGGGAGATACCTTATTACCGGCAATTCAAATCAGGCAAGGCAATGTGCTAATGCTATTGGTTTTGCCCTCATTCGATGGCAGGAATTTTCAGCAATATTGAAGGGCTGCCAGACAGCAGCGCTTGTGACTTGCCAGGCCAAGTACCGATTTGCTGTTTGCTTCTTCTCCGTGTGGTTTGCCGCCCGTTTGCCTGTTTGTTCCCGACGTGCTCGGCTTGTAGCTTGCATTTTCCCGGGCGACACGGACTACTCAGCGGTTTCCAGCTGCTCCATTTGTGTTTTGACTTCATTCTCATCCGGGTAACAGTGTCGGAGGGATCCACGTTCCGGCCTATCAATCGTGTTTGAAGAACTTGTCACCGAAGCCAGCTTTTGCTACTCTTAGTGAGGTCTCTAGGTCTCAGGTAATTCCACTGCGTCGTCTCCAACATAGGCAGTGGTGCTGTGCAGTACAAAATGAAAGGTGAGACTGCTTTTCCTCAACTGAGCTTGTGCCTGGTGATGTGAGATAATGATCCCTCCTAGCTATCGTACAGCGGGTGCTGTCTGGGTCAGTGACGGTGGACAACGAAGTGATTTCTTCTATTGGAAAGGGACTTCTTGTTCTTGCTGCTGTGGCTCCTGAAGACACAGAGAAAGATGCCGAGAATCTAGCAAACAAGGTGTTGAAGCTTAGGATGTGGGACGACGATGCCGGCGCAAGGGTGCGTTTGGCCAGATCCTGACCACTACAATACCTCCATCTAATCTTGTCTCAGTGGAAGAAATCAGTCCCGGACATTGACGGAGAAATTCTCTGCGGTATGTAGGCTGCCGTTCTGGGCTCCTGTGACGGGCCTTTTCATGACAACTCCTAATCCTTACAGTGTCTCAATTCACGCTTTTCGCCAAGATTGTCAAGAACAAGCCAGATTTTCGCCTCAGCGCAGGAGCCGAGGATGCCAAGAGGCTCTATCACCATTTCTTGCAAAAATTGCAGGATAGCTACGCCGCCGACAAGGTCAAGGATGGACGCTTCCAGGCCATGATGGCTGTGGCTTCCGTCAATGACGGACCGGTCTGTGCCCTTCGAACCCAACGACAACTGGTGATTCTGTCCTAATTCAAGTCCAAAGGTCACATTTGAGCTCAACACAGAGTCGGCACCTAAGTCCTGATCGCTCTCGAAGTCTTCCGGATGCCATTTGCCATGGCCCAAGGTACTAGTCCAGCGTCGCCTGACACAAGCCGGGGATTTACTCGAGCGGAACCTAGGTACGCCAGAACTGCAGCTTGGATCCTGTTCGTTCGAAGCGTCAAGAAGCGATGACAAACAGTGATGGACCTGGCAGGCGGTCCGCTGCGGTTAAGGATAGATTTATATGCATCATACTTCCTTGCCTTAGGCGTGGAACTCTGCACATAGGTGCAACTGCGATGGGCTTGTCATTTTTCAGAATACCTCAGAACGCAGGCAGAGACATTGCAACTCAATTACATCAACGCTGCCTGCTTCAGCTGCATAATTTCTTTCTGCCTTATTTTCCCGTTTGCCTCACCTTGTCTCTTCAGCCTAGGTACCTAGGTAGATAACATACCTGCCTACCTTACCTATGTAGAGATGCATCACCTAAGGTACACAGCAGCGAAGGCAGGCACCTCATGGAAAAGCCGAGGACAGGGCAGGAAAGAGACATCGGTAAGAATAGCACCCTCTGATTGGCCCATTCTAAAGCTATTGCTCCTTCCCGGTGAAGCATGCAGGTAGTGAGCAGCCGGTGGTGCGACTGCCCCGCGCACAGGCGTCCGAGCTACCAGAAAGTTCCATCGTACCTTCCCCCACCTTCCAGGTTAGCTCTGGGCTGAAGCATTTATCGTCCCCCTCCACCACCATCGTTCCGAGGATTAAGCTATACCTTGCCTCAGGTACCTTACTTCCTCGACTCAATTGTATGAACAACACTTCTCACGTTCAACGTGAATCAACGACAACTTCCTACCAGCTTCGGCCCAATCATCGATAACCTGTCACTCCGCGAATCTCGTTTGCGGCAACCACATCTACCCCGCACTACTGGATCGAGTACAGAATCCTAGCCTGATCAACCTCAACGAGTTCAACTTGCACTTCAGAACATAGTCACAATGTCCGCTGAGGGAACCGAAAACAAAGCCGCGCGCTCGCGCGTGTTCTTTGATATTACAGTCGGTGGCAAGTCCGCTGGCCGTATTACCATGGAGCTCTACAACGACCTTGTCCCCAAGACGGCCGAGAACTTCCGCTGCCTCTGCACCGGCGAAAAGGGTCTGGGCAAATCCGGCAAGCCTTTGCACTACAAGGGCTCTATCTTCCACCGCGTCATCAAGCAATTCATGATTCAGGGAGGTGACTTCACGGAGGGCAATGGTACTGGCGGCGAGTCTATTTACGGCGCAAAGTTCGAGGATGAGGCTTTCCCTAAGAAGCACGACCGTCCCTTCCTCCTGTCCATGGCCAATGCTGGGCCTAGTAAGTACTCTTCTATGCCTTGATGAGGGAGGCTTCTTTCTGACAATGCTATGTACAGACACCAACGGCTCTCAATTCTTCCTCACCACCGTCCCGACGCCTCACCTCGACAACAAGCACGTCGTCTTTGGCGAGGTCCTCAACGGCAAGTCCGTCGTTCGCCAGATCGAGAACCTCCAGACCGAATCAGGCGACAAGCCCCTCAAGGACGCCGTCATTGCAGACTGCGGCGAATTGACCGGAGACGCCGCTCTCGCAGCCGATGTGAAGGCCCCGGACGCCATGGGCGACACCTACGAGGACTTCCCCGAGGACTGTGCAACCCCGCCTGATGCTCAGGAAGTCATCAAGATTGCTGCCGCCTGCAAGGATTACGGCAACAAGGCCTTCAAGGCTGGCGACTTCAACCTCGGTCTCGAGAAGTACCAAAAGGGCCTGCGCTACATCAACGAGGAGCCCGACTTGGAGAAGGAGCCCGCTACTACCAAGGCGGAACTCCAAGCTCTCCGCTTTACCCTCAACAACAACTCGGCCCTGCTCAACATCAAGCTCGAGGCCTGGGATGATGCCGCGAAGACGGCTACGTACGCCCTTGATGTTTCCGGAACCAAGGACGCTGACCGCGCCAAGGCCCTCTACCGCCGCGGCTTCGCCAACGTCCGCCTTAAGGACGAGGAGAACGCGATTAAGGATCTTGAAGAGGCGCACAAGCTCGTGCCGGATGATAAGGTCATTCTCCACGAGCTTAATGCCGTCAAGCAGAAGGCGGCCGCCCGTGCGGCCAAGGAGAAGGCGGCTTACAAGAAGTTCTTCCAATAGATGGAGCCACTCAGCGAGGGCGCAGCATGTACCGTACCGGGGACTGGACGGGGAAACACGGCATAGATGCAGTGCGACTGTGATGGTATGAGGCAGAGCGAAGACTGGTGGATGACGATTCTATGATCTGGGCGACTAAAAACAAGGGAATTCTCTAATCAATTGGAACAATTCGGGGCGTAAAGAGAAGCAGGCACTGGAAAACACAAAGAAAACTCATGGGTAGATACCTCGACTGAAAGTTCAATATCATTATATTTTACACATTGCTCGTTTCGTTTTGTTCTAAAGGGAAATGAAATATGCTGTGAAGAGTCTCGTGGCGTGAGGCTGAGGCAAGACACGTAAATGCTAGTCATGATATGTCTGGGTATATTCATTCGTGGCCCATGTTGCGACGGCTACCTACTCTCCAACCAGCTCAAGAAAAGTTGGTGAGGAAGAAGAGACGAACACGGGATGGGTTTGGGTGTAAGAAGAAAGCGAAAAACAAATAGGGCCGACCCTCCCTCCAACCGAATGCATCAACAAGTAGAAAGGAACCTTCCCAAGCAGGCTCCATTGATGAACATTGTGCAAATGGAGAAACGCCAGAGGTAAGTTCAGTCGATCCTTGCCCACCCAAGACTGCCCTCGATTCCGGCGCAGGTAATAGTAATGCAGAAGAGGCGCTGCCCTTCCGCACTCTCTTGACGCTCCAAGCTGGGCGTATCCAGACATCCTCCTCGTTAAGAATGCAGAGACTTTGGCTCGTCATTCGACCATTGAAGTTTTTTTTGATTTTGGTTCGTGTGCGTGTGTATCGAAATAGTAATGAACAAAGGGAAATGAGTGGTAAATAAGGAACATCAATAGCCAGTGTTCCATGATCGGTCGAGATTCTTGCCGCGTGTTGTTGATGGAGACGACTCAGGTGAATCGCTCCGCCCGAACGGCTTCATGATGCCAGACAGAATATGACGAGTAGCCCTGCCATTCCGCTTGAGCGTAGCCAAATGCGAAGACGCGTGCTCTGAATGTCCAGCCGCTTGCCGCAGGGAGCTGAAATCTCGGCCACGACGGTGCTCACGACTTCTTCGCGTAGGAACATCGATCAATACGTCGCTGCCAGCCGAACCAGGTGGTTGGTAATTGTCTTGGTCAAGCCAAACTGTAGACGTGTTCGCTGAGGTCGGTGCTGAGTGATTGTTGTGATGCGTGGAAAGGCTCATGGAATCCAATATGGCAGAGTTATGATCCATAGCGTCGGCGAAGTCGGAGGCAGGAAGGGATGCAGTCTCGTGAGACGAGCCATCCAACTTCGAGTAGCATAGGTCGGCGCGCTCCTGTAACACCAGACACATTTCATTGAAGATGAGAATGTCGTCTTCGCCGCCTACAGGTTTGACTACCTCCCCATTTCCGATAGGATTGGCCTCAGTCCACATCTTAACTAGCGCTGCGAAATTGCGAGCGTGATCAATCAAGTGAGGCAGTGCAGGGAACCCTTCTCGTGCCGTTGGTGATAGTCGTCCAAGAATCGCGATAGGTGTCGAATAAGATGGACCCAGGGCGACCTTGTTGCGTTCGACGGGGATGGCGCAGATCGTGTCAATGTAGTCCTTGACCGACTGACGGTTGGAGCCCAGAAATTTGTTCATTGGCTCCATCCATTCTTCCTTCTTACCAAACGTAGACAGGTTTCCAAGGGCCTGAAGTGCCTTGGCAACCAGTGTGAGCGTTCGCTGTGCTCTGGGTCTAGGGTGATCCCTCAACAGACCAAAGAGCTTGGGGCTCAAAATCGCCGGGCAAATGAAACGGAGGAACAAGAAGCCCGACACGCTCGTGTAAGTGACGGTTCGTAGCCAGTCGCCGTAGCGATCTTCAGCCACGGCTCGTACATATTTGAGGATTGAGCGAAGTTCCGGTGGGCATTTCGTGGGCTCCTTGCAAATGCATTGCCACACCTCCGTTGTCAGCTGAATCAGTCTTGTCCAGTGCTCCTGAATGTTTTCACCAGGTTTGAGCTTGCTCGGGTCGACTTCGCAGTTGGGGTTGGTCTCGTTGATCTCGAAAATCTTGGCTTGCAACATCTGCTCGAGATACTCCTTTCCTGATCTTCTCATATGGAACTCAAGCGCTTGCGTCAGCAGCGTATTGCCTCTGAACAACAAGTTGGCCTCTCCTGCAAGAGATTTACCCATGTCACGAAGAATCTGCTCTCTGTCACTGGATGACTCCATGGACTCATTCGATTTCAAGCGGCTGCTGAATCGGTACTTCTTCATCTGGTTTTGGCTGCCGCCAATACCGTCGATCTCGTCTTCGACTAGTGTTTGCAGCCATTCATTCGCATGACCAGACACTTGAAAAATGTTGAGAAAGATTTCGGAAAGCCGCCGCAAATTGCCGGGAAGCGCATCAGCAATCTGAGCGGTCAGACCGGACGGAAAGCTATGAAGCAAAGTTGACAGCGCCTGGTATTCCTTAGAATGAAGAACAACGAGCTCCTCGTGATGGAGCTTCACAAGCATTGTGCCCATGACCTGCTGTCGTTCGTCATAGATCTCAAGCCACCGCTCGAAGTCTTTGCCGGGTTCGACATGGTCCAAGGGGATGTCAACGGAGCCGCAAAGAATCTCAGTCAGATTTCCCGTCTTGGGCAGCCCGAGTGATGCCTGCAGTTGATGGCTGAAACTTTCCAGGTTCCCGTCCACTCTTTTCAGAATAATGGACAGGAATGGCATAGTCGGCGGAAGGTCCGAAAATTGGTAATCTTCCCGCCAAAATGGATTCTTGGTTCCAGTCTTGATCGTTGATCGAGCGCGGACCTCGCCATCCAGTATGACTTCTGTCAGGTAGTTGCCCATCAAAGGGTCTGCGTCCTTGGGCTGTCGGTCGATGAAGCTAACGTCGGGAGAACAAGTCTTCGGTCTCAGTTTTGCCTCCGTCACCCGCAGACTGATCGTCTTCTCAATCCTGAATATCTCGCCGGAAAGATCTGACTCCAAATCCGTAACCTCCATCGCTCCTTCGGCTGAAGGCGAATCCAGTCGGAAAATGTCCGGCAGCGCGAATGCTCGAAGAAGAACAAACCAGACTTCGAATAACAAGCGGTTGTCCAGAGCAATGTACACAGGACGGAATATGGACAGCTGTGTAGATATCGGAGAGTAGTGTGGGAAAATGCCGATGCAGTACTCTTCGTCCAAAACTGACCGGTTCAGCTGTTGAATAGCGCATCGAGATAGTTGGGATAGTTCGACCACAGCGATGACAGCCTCGCCATCTCTTGTGGTGAGTCGAACCTCTCCGTTTTCTTGAAGCAGGAGGGAAACAACCCGCCAAGAAGTAGTCGGCGATCTCAGATCCCTCGTAGAGGGCCTTTTCACGATGGCCCTCGGCGAATTTGCCAAGCCCTTGTCCCAAAGTCTCACTTGGCCGACCTTGATGAATGCAGTTGTAGTCTTCGCGGTTCCATTCTCAGAGCCACGCCTTCTTACTGCTGGACGCAGGGCGGTAGGCGCAGGACTTCGATTGCCGTTCGAAAGTTTCACTTTCGGAGGTCGAAGTTGTTGCCAGCAGAGCAAAGCTGCAAGCCAGAGGTCTGTTTCTTCTGCTAGAAGCGGATGAATTAGAAGATCCAACGGGGGCTGGATGGGACACGAAACGTCCAAACATCTTTTCCCATCAGATAATATGACTGGCGCAACTCGACATCCACGGAGGTCAGAAATGAGGGGGATATGGAATGGCCCATCATGTCCTGAGTCGAACATCAAGCTTCCCTTTTCTTCGTCAACGTATGCAATACCAAGCTGCCATGGACCCCGGGGGTCGGTCTGACATTCGATTTCACCTCTCATGCGCCCACATAGATTTTTCATCATGAGCAGAATGTTGTTCGCATTTTCCGTCGGAACGGGAATGGGTAGCGAATCAACAGAAGGCGTTGAGCTTGTTGGCGGAGAAGTTGGCCGGGAAGACTGGCGCTTGATCAGACGTTTCGTCGACAGCTTTTTCTCTTTCAGGCTGTTTGCGACACCTAAGGGAATTTCCGAGTGTCGGGCCGGGATGACCGAGGGGAATCCCAAGGACTCGATGGGAGGCGGTGGGGAGCGAGCATCGTCGTACAAGGGCTGAGATCCAGACGAAGAAAACGACCCCACACGCTGGCGGCCCTCTCGGGAGGCAGCATTCATGAACTGCTGGCGTAGTGCGCCGTCCATGGTATGTGTCCTAGGCCGAAAGCTGCTTTGTTGCCTCAGAGGCGGACTAGTTGAATTATTCTCGTAGGAGCTTCCACCATATGTGTCATTAAACACCATTCCCTGTCGTCTCGAGAAGTCTCCCGGGATAGATCTCGGGGAGGTTTGAGGGGAGTTCGACGTGATACCGCGGGGTATCTGAGGAGGGACGGTCGGATCGAATGCGGCGTTCGCGGACGGCGTCGGCGAGAGGTCCGGATGATGATACTCGGGTGTCACGGCGCGGATCGTGGGGTTCGACGGGTGGTTAGAGCGGAATGATGTGCGTAGATTGGAGTTTGAGACGCGTTCCATGCCGCGAGACGACGAGTCTGCGGACAAGTTCTGGTTCTGGGATTGCTGCCAATTGAGGCGCGGCGTAACGTTGTGAACCCCGTTGTGGTAGGTTCGTCCATCCATTCCCGGTGGTGCCATGCTCATTCCATGGTTTGTCCTCATTTGGGGTCCGCCCGCATCTGAGGTTTGGTGATTCTATGAGCGTCCCCGGAATTCGTCGTCTCTTCCAGAGCTGCACCTGAGCGTCCCACCACGTCTTGCTTTCCGTAACCTAGCCAGCACGCCTTTCTGCCTCTTCCGAAATTGAGTGATGGCCGATCAGATTCTGCTTCCGAGGATAATGTGTGTGCCACCACGCAACAACAAGCATACTAGTTGCTGAGCGGTATTCCTGCAAGTCGCAAATCGGGTCTTACAGGTGGGAGTCGAGTGCGAAGCCCGTTGAGCGGTGGTGACGCTTGATGTCGTTGGGAGGCG